AGTGGATGAGGAATTCAACCAATCATGTTCTAAGGATTATTCTGCCCCCCCCTCCCCGCTCCTGAAACGTTACCGCCTCATGCGTGCATCACTTCCGATACAATTTATCAAACAGAGATGAAAATGAATGGTAAAAACAGCAACATGACTGTATCAGTGATGTTCACGCGGTTTGTTACCGCGCCTAACGCAGGCAAGGTGTTTGATAATGGAATGTTGAAATTGTGCCACATAGACATACCGGTGCATCAGTATTTCCGAAAATCAAAAATTGCCAAAATTGTCAAAGTCGAGGTGGCAGTTCTGTTATTTGCTGATACAGTCAATGAATAAGCATTACGAATCGACAATATACTTTTTTAATAAGTTTGAACCCAACAGAAGTAGAACGGATATTTCGATCTAAGACTTTCCAGAGCTTCCTATTTTGGGGTCTCTTGGAAATAGTCTCGGGTTGCGGCTGGTCACCCTTCCCGCGCACCTCACGAAATGTTCCTGTAAGATCAGGCGTTTAAGATTGCCTCTACTGAGGAAGCCCTGCTCAATACCTTCCTGTGGCGGAGGTAGTTTCATAACAAAGTGAGAGGACGAAAAGTCAACATCCGAGGCTATAATCACGTCGGTGAACCAGTGGCAGTTCACCTAGGGGAGTTGGTTAAAAACCCTGATTCCAAACCAACCAAGAAACGGTGTACCAATCACATCAACACCCTCCTGATTGTGAGAGTTGTGTCGATTTTTTGTGGAGTTGTATTGGGCATCTTGGACATTTGACCCAGTCCCGAAAGAGCGTATGATCCGATGACCTGGACACCGGCCCCAAATGAGTTGCGGTTCACACATACTGCATCGCTGCCCTGCGAGTAAAATCAATTGAATGGGATATCCAGTATCAGTATCAAGTGTCATTATCTTTTTATCCCGGAAAATGAATATGATTGGATCTCACTGGCTTGGAAATGCATTACTTTTGTTTGCTATCGTTCTGTTCGCATTTCCTACCCAGTGGATTCGAGAAGTCCAATTGAGCAGCTCATCGGCGAGACGATGTTTACCGAACTGTTCCAGAAAGGTTTTGATTGTTTTGGTTTCTCCTCACTTGCTGAAATTGAGGACACTTGTCAGTGCTGGATATTGGAAACTACCGCAGGCCACTTAGTTCTCATCTTGTAGCAGTGACATCAATGCTCCATCTCCCTTAGACGAGGAGTGTGTGTGTGTGTATGCATCATTCAATTTTCCACATTCAGTACGTGGTCGCCTTTCGTTCCTTTCTATCCGCTTCCGGAAGATCGAGCGACTGTGCCGTGTAGATATTTATGTTTAGGTTACACATTGTACCATTGGGTACCATTGGTATGTTTGCAAGTGAAATACCTAATATTATATATATATATATATATATATATATATATATATATGCCAACCTCAACGCTAACAGTAATCGCATCAGTGATCAGTGTTTTGTTTCTACCCCCGTAATGAAACGACCATGCGGTTGTGCTTGTATGCATCCGAGTGAGAATAAGTTATTTTGTGTGTGTTTGTTGCCATGACGGCTGTCACATGCCAGCTGACGTCATTTCTATCCCCGTTTCCCGTGCCTCTAACCGTCTGAACTCGCATTATTTTTCCTCACACCCATGCACACCCTGTGTACGCGCGGTTCAGATGGAAAAATGCACCAGCCCTACCCGGAAGAGCCTATTGTCCGACTCAGATGGAACAGATCGCCAACTGTGTGACGCATGTCCCTCTGGTCCCACTTAGCATATTCGGTTTGGTCCGGCTGTATGGGAAAGCAACCAGTTGGGCTCAGTGTTTCGCAGCTGTTGTGTACGGCACGGCAGTCTGTTGTCTGTTCCTCGCCTCATCCTCGTTCCATCTATGCTCGTTACTGGCCCACGACAGGTAAGTTAGTACCGATGGGCTGAATTATACTTTTTGAAATGAAGTGATGTGCTGCGGGTGATGAGTGGGGTTTATGCACGATTACTGTTCCAGAAGGCATTATATATATAAATAAAAACGGTTACCGTCCTACGTTCTCCATGGATTGCACCAATGAACCCTCCCCTGTGAGAGACCGAACATCCCGCCCTCCGAGGAAACACGGTCATCGTCTCTTCATGCAAACTTGCTGATAGAAAAAATCACGGAGTCATGTGCTAAGCACACTGTGTAGTTCCGTCATGCTATCACACCTTTCTAGTGTTTCAGATGCACTGAAATGTGAATACTATAGACAATTCAGGCGTTTCACGGAACATCATTGTAATCAGAACCGGGACAAGGCCAAACAAACCCCGATGTCCGTGAATTCGTATGGAGTATACAAGATAATGTCTTGTTTAGTCTTTGGTGGCTCTTCAAAAGTACATTTACCTTTTCGTCTCACGGGTAACGAGGCTGCTCGATCTATTTAGTGTAATTGCTCCAACTTTCGAGCCAGAACAGTCTTATTTTTAAGCATCTTTCGGTTCGTGCAACAGACATTCATGACCTAATTCAAATCCACCTTGATGTGTAAATATAAGGTCAACACTGCTGATAGAAAAAATCACGGAGTCATGTGCTAAGCACACTGTGTAGTTCCGTCATGCTATCACACCTTTCTAGTGTTTCAGATGCACTGAAATGTGAATACTATAGACAATTCAGGCGTTTCACGGAACATCATTGTAATCAGAACCGGGACAAGGCCAAACAAACCCCGATGTCCGTGAATTCGTATGGAGTATACAAGATAATGTCTTGTTTAGTCTTTGGTGGCTCTTCAAAAGTACATTTACCTTTTCGTCTCACGGGTAACGAGGCTGCTCGATCTATTTAGTGTAATTGCTCCAACTTTCGAGCCAGAACAGTCTTATTTTTAAGCATCTTTCGGTTCGTGCAACAGACATTCATGACCTAATTCAAATCCACCTTGATGTGTAAATATAAGGTCAACACTAGGTCATCCTCAAGCGCTCGCAGAGTTCAACCAACGATCATCCACACGCGTGTTGTAACTTCCGGATGAATTGACATCACAATCCCACGCCAGAGGTGTATCATTTTGACCGTCAGATGAAAGCAGCATCCGATGCAGAGGCCGTAGTCTCATAAAGGAATAGAGGTGGAAGGCAGTAAATGGTTGATTGTGGAAAGGTTCCCTGGCAGAGTGTCATCCAAGCTGTACGACTGGGGAGAAAAGTTGCGGTGAACTCTTGAGTGAAATTTACTCTCAAAGTAGTAATGCGGTAAAAAAACAATACTTTGTCACAGAAAACAAGGTGATGGACAACTAGTCATGGGTTGTATTCTGATGAGCTTTATTGTTTTTGATATCTTTTCTCGAGCGCGATGAGCACCAGTGATCTCACGGGAGTGAATGGTAAATTAGACAGACATGGGTAGATATTGTGCTACGTTCTCAACGGTTCTCTCTCTTTTTGTGGAGCGAACACTCTCACTGAGCGAACAAATTTGGTCGGTTCCCGACAATATTCACTCTAGAAGGAGGAGCCTTCTGTTCCGCATTCTGTATCAGAAAACATCTCTGAATTCCGTTCAGATGATCTGTCAAATAGCAGCTCTGTGGTGGGTTATTTCAAGGCCAAATGAGTGGGTTATATCCGCATCATGTGATATGCAGCTGCAGATAATTGCCATAATCCCTGTCACAAGATTAAATCCTTTTACGCATGTTCGTATCCGTCGATCACCACCTATTCATGTTCCTTTGTAATTTAAACGTGATTCGATTCAATTGCCCAAATCCACCAATCAATTAATTTTTTCGGATGCTACTGATCAGCTGATTGTTAAAGTGCAATTCATGTAGCTCTGTTTTTGGGAACGGCGCAAATTGGTTTCTCCGAACAGGCAATGATAAACAACCTTCTGTGTCTGACATCTGTTATCTGCACTGCGTCGTCAGCTTTTTGTGAGGGTATCACGATGAGGTTAGGCGCTGTGAGTTGGAATATATAATCTCCCTTTAATCAAGATTGTTTCAGTGCACCGTCTCAGATGACCAAGGTATGTACTAAAAATATTTGGTCAACATCTGTTTTTCACTGCACTTTATTTACAGTCATTAGACAAGACTGGAAAAGATAAGCTTGGGCAAGTGATGCTGTGACATAGAGAATTGAAGAAAATCTGCTCAGATTTGGATTCCTTCGGTTACCCCGGCTTTCAGATTGAAATCCTAAACACTCCGATTGGATAGGAGCACTGCAATGTATTTCACTAAGTCGAAGTCAGTCAGGAACGTAAATCCATCTTTATAATCCGAAAACAATTGGGGCCGAAAACTAAATAGTTTCACGTCATGCCATAGTATAAGGCAGTTCGTGTCACGCATAGTTGAAAGTGTTTGAATGTACCAGAACACGTGCGCTCCCTACAGTATAGACCTTTGCGGTGTGCAATGTTTGCTGAGACAATTAATAGGCGGAAGAGAATGAATATAATGGGGACCTGGTAGTATGGAAGATAGGAACGCTTGATCACCGGAGCCGGTCATATGAGCGGCGCTGGTACTTCTCGTGACCAATTGAACCAATTTGGTGCTCGCGCATTTACTCAGTTTGTGTGCAAGTTCACTTCATCTGCATTCTACATCTTTAGCCGGTTACCGTTTTCAGTTTTCAATTTCTTCCATCTACTCCCACATTATCATCCTACCAATTTTGAGGTAACTTGAAAAACAGCAACCAAAAGCAACACTTGGAAAAGCAAGGCTATTAGTTGTGTACTGACTGAAATGAAGTGTATCGAAGTTCCCAATCTGTGGTTATTCTAGCGAGAACTGTGACACTGCTGTAAGAGGTCATACTGTTAACAAATTGTTGAATGATTGACTTTTTTGGATACTTTTTAAACTCAAGCATGCTGGTTAGAAGCTTATATGAGTTCAGTACAAATCTGACCAAGTTTGTATATCGTGTTTTTGATTCCGGTTTTTTCTTCTATCCCAAACTTCACCCCCAAAAATAATGAATCGTTTGTGCTAAATATTGATCAGTCTCTCCCATGAGAATGATTTTTGTCAGTCAATAAGCAGCATACAAAATTTCTATCGTGCAGAGCCCCTTAGAGCCTCTACTGCTAACTGTTATGTGATATTGTGTGTGACGGAATAAAACCCACAGACAAGAAGCCTTACTGTTTCAGTAACTGAAACCGATAGCTCAGTTTCCGGGGCGTGGCGTCAGGAATCACATACGACCCTTTTTACACAATTTAAACCTAGCATTACGTTCACTGAGAGAGAAGTTGTCAGAGAGTAAAAGGGATTCGAGCTTTGAACAATGCGAGCTAGTTAAAAAAAGTACACCATTGTATGGCTACCGAAAGAACGATGGTCTCCATATTCGTTAGAATCCTCGATTCACTCATGATAACCACCAACCTAAGCCCTGAGATTTGAAGTGGCAAACCAGATAATTCGTCAATAGGCTAGGCGTGGTTTTAAGCCAGTCCACTGCGAAACCGATTTCCCTTAAGATTGACTGTCGATACCATGGCTATCTGGCCCAAATGAAACCGATGAAAGCAGCCTACATCGCTTGTTCGGCATCAGCACAACGTTGATTCACAAATAAATGACAATGTCTTCTTTCCTTTCTTATTTATTGAATGTACACATTTACAGTCAACATTCAGGAAGGGGGCTGCGGCCATACAAAAGCTGCCTGGGAAGACGGGCGGCGGTTGAGCGTTTCGAACCCGGGACTTTCGGGTGGTGACCCAACCACTTGGCCACCACTACTGATGCATCAGCTACCAAGCTCCTGTTAGAATGATAAAATTGTTTCTCACAGTTTTGGTCTTCTATTTGCTCCGACGACTGTGTAAATTGCATAGCCACTGGAAAGACTGTTCTGTCATGCTGTGATTTTTTCATG